GTAGAGGTACTTTTTTAAAAGATCTTATTTGCTCTCCACAGCTTATTTTAAAAAAAATAAGATCCTTTTTTTAAAAAAATTACCAAACACTTTGGAAGAGCTTATAAGCTCTAAAACATCTTATAAGCTCCTTTTAACATCTTATAAGCTTAGCCAAACACCCTCTAAGTGAAAAATGAACTTATAAGATGTTTTAGAGCTTATAAGCTCTTCCAAAGTGTTTGGTAATTTTTTTATAAAAGATCTTAATATTTTTTTAAATAAGCTGTTGGAGACTAAATAAAATCTTTTTAAATAAGTACTTCTACCCCATCTTTTTATTTAAGATCTTATAATGAGTAAAATATGAAATAAGCTCATTATTCAAACACTCTAAAAAATAATTATAAAAATAAGATGTAACAGCTTATCAGCTCTAAAAACATCTTATCAGACGTAAGAGCTTATCAGTTATTTAAAATAAGTTGCAATATTTGTAGTTTTTATTTCAAACAATTGTAGAGTGCTATTATTAATTAATAATTACTTAGAAACAGTTGTAAAGTGCTAGTAAATATTTTAATATTATTTCCATTCAGTTTAATTTTATTTCTTAGTGTAAATTACAACCATCCTTATGCTCAAATTACGAAAAAAATCATTCATGTTTGGATAATTACATCTATCTCTCAACTATGAATCTTTTTACACCTCCACCCTTATGGTGCAAATAAACGTAATCATCTAGATTCCATTGAATGTTCTCTAATTTGTTCTCGTTCTGTGCAAAAATACAATTTATGATGCACCACAATCTGATATATACAAGCTAAAAAACTCATTTTGTGATCATCTTGCTTCAAAATGTGGAAGTCGAATGAAATAAAATGGGTACAAAATTGAGAATATTTCATATAATCTAAAAGATTCTACTAATTTGAAACAACGTGTAAAAAAATTTATACTTAAGGGAATTGGTTGTATTACCAAACATAAGAAGTTTTTTCGTAATTTGACCATATTTCAAAGGGCGTTAGTTGTAATTACCCAAACAAAATCAAATGAAATTTGATGGTTTTTACTTTTTAAAAAGTAAAACTCACCCCTCTTCGCCCCTATAGTTTTTACGCCGCCATGAGCCTGTCCTCCGCCACCTCCATCTCCTCCACGTCATTCATCTCGAATGGGAGTGGGACCCACACCGGGAAGCTTTCCGGGACCTACCTCCACCTCTCCCTCCCCAACAACAAGCAGCAGCAGCAGCAGCAGCAGAAGACGATTACTTGCTCCGCCGCCGCGAATAGTGGCGCCGCCGTGATAGAGCAAGGGTCCACCCGTCTCGAATCGGCTCCTAGTCGAATCGGTTCGCTGAGTCAAGTCTCCGGCGTGCTCGGATGCCAGTGGGGAGACGAGGGCAAAGGAAAACTCGTCGATATTCTCGCTAAACACTTCGACATCGTCGCTCGTTGCCAGGTGCGTAGTTTCTGTAAATGTAAATTGAATCTTCTTCTGTTTCTGCAAGTGGAAAACGCTGTTCATTGACAGTTTATTAGGGCTGTGGTATAAAATTCAGAAACTCAACACGTGTGATTTTTCTTCATAATATAGATGCGCTTCAAATCAGTAGGATAATATATAATTAAAATTGGATCAATTCATTTCTGACTTAGGGTTTTCACTTGGATTTGAATGTGGAAAAAACATTTTCTCTTGATGAATTATGTCAAGGATTGTATCTTATGAATTTGTTGCGAATTATGCAAACATTTTTCTGCCACCTTTATGACTTCAGTTTTGTTCTGCTAAAATACATCCATGGTTGCATTGAGTTGAAGGAGGTCTCATTGTTTCCACAGGTTGCTCGTATACGAAACTGAAATGTTAAGCGTATATTCAATTTTACCAATACCGTTTTGTCTTCCAACGTGATTTTGACCCTTTTCTAGTCGAGTTTGGGCAACTTGAATCAGCTATATTGGATATCGGGGGACAAAGTTATGCATGAATGAGTTCCATTTTTGAATTTTAGATACCTCATGTTTGATTCATGCATATCTTTCTCACTCGATTTCCAGTTTTGGTGATTCAAGTTGGATTAGAAAGCTAACTCTAAGAACTGCAAAATCTGTGTTTTGGGTTTTGCCAAATTCAAACTAAAAAAATGGTCAAAATCACGTTTGAAGTTGAAATAGTAGTATTAAAACTGAAATGGCATTTATCACATCCCATATGAAACCTTCAACATCGTTTAATTACAGGGTGGAGCAAATGCTGGCCACACCATTTACAACTCAGAAGGCAAGAAGTTCGCCCTCCACCTTGTTCCATCAGGCATTCTCAACGAGGAAACCACGTGTGTAATAGGCAATGGGGTTGTAATCCATTTGCCTGGATTCTTTAACGAAGTCGATGGTCTCGAATCCAACGGAGTTTCGTGCGAAGGAAGGATCTTAGTATCCGATCGGGCCCACTTACTATTCGATTTCCATCAATCCATTGACGGGCTTAGAGAAGCTGAGCTGGCAAAATCGTTCATCGGAACTACAAGGAGAGGCATTGGGCCTTGCTATTCGAGCAAGGTTATTCGAAACGGCATAAGAGTAAGTGATTTGAGGCACATGGACACTTTTCCTGAGAAGCTCGATCTTTTACTATCTGACGCTGCATCGAGATTTCGGGGATTTAACTATGGGCCCCACATGCTCAGGGAAGAAGTCGAGAGGTACAAGAGATTTGCGGAGAGATTGGAGCCTTTTATTACCGATACGGTTCATTACATGAACGATGCTATATCTCGGAAACAAAAGATTTTGGTTGAAGGTGGTCAGGCAACTATGTTGGATGCTGACTTTGGAACTTATCCGTTTGTAACTTCTTCTAGTCCATCTGCTGGTGGTATATGCACTGGTCTTGGTATTGCTCCTAGAGTTGTTGGTGATCTTGTCGGGGTGGTAAGTGGCTTTAAAAGTTCGAAAATATCTTATGTTTCTTGACTTTTTCTGTGATATCTATAATACTCGAGTTAAAATATGGATTAATTATTGTTAAATAGGTAGATGTGGTTGATGTCACAGTTAGTACGGTCGATATACTATACTCTTCATCTTCCTATCATCATTTTAATACCACTCATTGTGTGCTTCTGTTTTTTTTTTTTTGCTTTCCTCACCAAAATTTGTCATTATGAAGGTTTGGAATAATCTGTATTGTGTAGATTCTTATTTTTTTATTATCTATAAAAACGGGCAAATGCACGTGCTACTTACTAGCTGCATGAAAAAATTTCAAGTAACTTTTTACATTTGAATTTGGCATGGTTTTGAAGAAACACCTTATACTTCTCCAGAGATTGCATTCTTGATTTACGTCTTCTATTATTATGTGCGTAGATCATAGTTTATTCTTTTCTTAATCGACAAATTATACATGCAGGTGAAAGCATACACCACACGAGTTGGTTCGGGTCCTTTCCCTACAGAAATATTGGGGACAGGCGGTGATCTGCTTCGGTTTGCTGGACAGGAGTTCGGTACAACAACAGGCCGCCCTCGTAGATGTGGCTGGCTCGACATAGTTGCTCTGAAATATTGCTGTCAGATAAATGGATTCTCGTCTCTAAATCTTACTAAACTCGATGTTTTGTCTGAATTACCGGAAATCCAGTTAGGTGTTTCTTACAAGCAAACCGATGGCACTCTGATTCAATCATTCCCTTCGGACCTATGTGTTCTAGAGCAAATCGAGGCAAGCTTTAACTTTCTTCTCTCTCCTTCTCTCACACGCACACACACACAAGTTATTAATTTGGTTGTGGATTTTGTTTAGGTTGAGTATGAAACTATGCCAGGGTGGCAGTGTGATATTTCTTCCATTAGAGAGTACTCTAAGCTGCCGAAGGCTGCGCGCAACTACGTAGAAAGAATAGAAGAAATTGTTGGTGTACCAATTCATTACATTGGCATTGGACCAGGACGCGAAGCCCTTATATACAAATAAGTAACATGTTCGTGGAGTTTCCTAAAATAGTATTTTCTTAACGAATTTTTCATGTTTTTCGTTTCGTAGGGTTGGTGATCAAATGAAAAATTGTGACCAGTTTTGAGGTTTAATTTTGAGCAGTATTTTAATCGAAAACGACACTGCACTAGAAGTAGCTCTCTAATAGCGATTTTCTATGATGTAAGGAATCGTGTTTGTCTATCGGAGATTCGGATTGCACTGATGTGTAGACTGTACATGTATTACTGTTTGTTTTAGGCGATCTGATGTGTGTTAAGCGAACTTTACATGCAAGCTGTCTGTCGGCGGCCTTTTTGCCGTTTGGGCTTTTTCGTGGTGAATACTTTAGTCCACCTTGGTGCTTATAATTCATTGGGCCTCGGCTCAGTGGACTTAGTTCTTATCATTTATTAGGCCTTGGCCCAATACTTTTAAGTATGGTGAATTCAGCCCAATATTGTCGAACTGAACCCATCACACTCGATCGACTCAATCGGTAACATCTGCAAGGAAATTAAACTTGCAATAAAACATTATCCGAGTAATATTCGAGTACAAGTCAAATAACAAGTAATAAAAATACCAAAATTCACTTGAGATTTTTTTTAGGGTAAATTACAAAAACTCCCCTGAACTTAGGTTAAATAACGAAAGACACCCCATCTATTCGTAATTACCAAAAAACCTCTGAGGTTTGTTTCCATCTTACACCAACGGCCAACCCCTTACGGCGTGGCTTTTTACAGCAATTTTTCGAACTCAGGGAATATACTTTACACAATTTAGGATATTTTATTTTATTTCTCACCTATTAAACAAAAGTTATAATAGACTGTACACATTTCTGCTAAAAAAATCGATCAACAGTTAATTAGAGGGGGGTTTTTGGTTATTATAGATATATGGGGGTGTTTTTCGTTATTTAGACTAAGTTCAGGTTTTTTTTTTGTAATTTTCCCTTTTTTTAAATGTCGTGTTTAGCATTTTGCAGCATGAAAGGAAAATTGAATTGCGCTTTACCGGACTTCCGTCTTCTACACAAACTCTCCGTCTAATTCCCGTCGCTGGAGTGGGAAGCGTGAACACCGGCTGCTGTGGCGGCGATGGAGAAAGGAAAAGGAAACAGCATGAAAATGAAATCTCCGAATAAAAAAATCACCCTCGAACAGTTCGTCTCCATAATGGCGCCGCTCATCGACATGGAAAAAGTATGCTTTTATGGATATTCACTTTGAATTTTCTCGAGATTACCTGTTCGAATTGCTGTAACCCTTATGCTAATCGAAGTACTTCAAATGAAGGAAAATTTGGAATAAAATAGTTAGTTAAGATTTTTTTGGATTAATAAGATTCGCAAGTAATTTATTCTAAATTTCTGCGGTGTAAATGAAATTTATGTGATGTGATTGTTATAGGAAGCCGAGATATCACTTTCGATGAGCTCTGGTGCCACAAGAAGCTTGGATATTGCTCAAAAGAAGGGTTCCACTATTCTGAATTTGAAGTGTGTAGATGCTCAGGTAAAATTGTGTGTGTGTGTGTGTGTGTATTTAATATCATGTTGTTGTTTGGCTGGTCTCTTATAAAAGTGCATTTTATAGACAGGATTGATGGGGAAAAGTCTTCTCGAGTTTCAATCGAATAAAGGGGACGTGCTCCCTCCTCACAGGGTAAACGATTTCTACACTGCATTACTTTTCAAAGAGATTATGCACTTCAGTATTCTGTGCGGCTAAACTATGTTACTAGGAATGAAATATAAAAGTGTATGCTACTCTTAAGTGTATTATTTAGTTAAGTTATTCTGATAATGATGCGATCTCCTAATTTAACTGCTTCCGTTACTTTGAACTGTTTAAGAAGAGTCTTTGACATTGCCACTGCAGTAGGAAATTTGGCAATGTAGTAGATTTTGGACTACTTTTACGGGCCATTTTGGTGTTTGCAGTCAAGTGTTTTACACAACTCAGTCGAGATGCAATGGTGTTTGTTTCTTTTTCGTTTTTGCTACCTCTTTCACAAAACCTGGTTAAATAATTGCACGTGACGTTTTTTTTTTTGTATTGTTTGAGACCTTAAATTTCTTTTGTTCATGATATCATTTACAAATAGGTGATCTCAAGTGTTGTTTCCAGTGGGAACAATGTAACCTATTCATTTGCCTTTGACATAATTCATTTTATCTTCCTCTTTGCTGCTGTTGTCCTTTCTCCTTTCTCATGTTTTTTTAATGTCTTCCAGTTTGGAACTCATGACGTTGTGGTTCTGAAACCAAACAAATCTGATTTGGGGTCTCCTCCCCTCGGGCAGGGTGTTGTTTACAGAATAAAGGTACTGTACTGTAACTTTTCTGAAATAGTAGCAGTTGTGCAACATTCCTATAATTGTTATCTTGATTCTTGGATAAATATCTTTTCTATTGAGCAGGATTCATCTATTACTGTTGCTTTTGATGATATACCGGAAGAAGGTCTGAATAGTCCCCTACGCCTTGAAAAATTGGCAAATGAGGTACATTGCCTGTTTCCCTAGGTCACGTAATTTGGTTTTCTGCAACGAGTAAGAGGATTTTTTTAAAGGCTTAGTGATGACATTTCTTTTGCTTAATCTCCAAATTATACTGTTTGACTGGTTTTATTTGAGTTTGTTATAAGAGTAGGTTGTCAATCATATCACCTTTCTACCAGTATTTGAAGTTTTCCGTATATTCTAGCAAATAATATAGGAAAACCATTCTGCCCCGAAAACTATAAGAAGAGAATCAAATATTGTAGTGGGCATGGTTGATCTCTTTTCTAGCTTTAACTAAAACAAGTCATTATGCCTCAAGTAACCTGGTTATTCTTCTCGTACAACTCAATACAGAGTAATTTGAACTATTAGTATCCCCATTTGTGAAAAGTAACAACCTATTTACTCAAAATCTTCCCTAAATAGACTCCCATTGTTCTAGAAATTTTTTGGCCTCATCAAATCTTTAAGGATATTAAAAGTTTTTGGAATATTTGGAGTGGGTGAATACATTGTAATATGCTTAGTAAACAGTTCTCTTGTTGAACCTTCACATGCTAAGGGGTTTAAAATGAGGGACTCTGCGACTTCAATCTAATGTTTTATCATACTTTAAATACTTTGATCACAATAAAATTTTCAGAATTGTGATTGATTTGTAGGTCACTTATCGTCGGATGAAAGACACGCTGATTCAGCTAAGTAAAGGTGTGCAGAAAGGTCCTGCTGCCGATCTGGTTCCTGTCTTATTTGGCGAGAGGTTACCAACAGTGTCCAAGAAAGATATCAAGTTCACTCCTGTAAACTCCAACCTTGATCATTCACAGGTCTCCCAAATAATATTCATCATATTTTCTTATAGCCCCTAATTCATCTATTTGCATTTTCTGTGAGTCTGAGCTGTGCTTAATTACTACTGCCTGAACATTATAGTTCTCATAACCATGTCATAAGACACTATAACTTCCTGACAAGAATTTTGCTATTTTTGTAGTAAATTCGACCAAATTCAAAAAGGCTATAGGTAGGTATATTAGAAAAGAGTTTTAACACAAAAGGAGTCGATTCACTTCAAATCCTGGCTTTGGTCATTGTAATTTTCCCTTTCAAATTATCTTTCTTTGAAATATTTAACTTAGATGCCTTCGTTATGTGGATAATATACATAATTTGTTCCTTTTTATTTGTATTTAGTTACTAGTGTATTACACTTGCTACTGACGCTACCTACATTGATGTATATAGGGAAAATGCTTTCTAAATTTCATGTTTCTTTACTGTACCACATTTATAATATTTTCATAATTAAAAACTAAAACAGTTCTCTTATATTTTTCAAGAAAGATGCTATTTCAAAGGCTCTTTCATCTAAGGACCTCTTTTTGCTGCACGGACCTCCTGGAACTGGGAAGACTACTACTGTGGTTGAAATCATCTTACAAGAAGTCAAGCGTGGATCAAAAATCCTTGCTTGTGCTGCTTCTAATATTGCAGTTGATAACATCGTGGAAAGACTTGTACCTCACAGGTACAGAAAATTTTCAATAAAGTACTTTACATATAACCTCAGGAATAAAATAAGTGCAAAGGGTGGTGCTGTTTCTATAGTTGTTAGAATTCCACTACATTCTTTAAGTTTTTTCTTCCACATGGCGTGTGCGACTAATATGTTTGCTGGAACGTATGTATTGTTTCTTGTGCTTCTAAAACAACAGAATTATTCGTGTAGTAATAGTTCTTATAACATGTTAAGTGATGTAGCTATTTTCTCTATTGGCCTTCATTTGGTTCTACTAATCATGTTTCTAAAGAAAAAACATCACTGTTTAAAGTTAGTTTAAATGATCACTTATGATTACATTTTTCACATCATTGTAATCGCTCTCGGGTTGTAACAGAGTTAAGCTGGTAAGAGTGGGGCATCCTGCACGCTTACTTCCTCAAATATTGGACAGTGCTTTAGATGCACAGGTAACTTTTTCTACTGATCCACTGTCAAAATTTTGGATTCTAGTATGTTATTCTCTTGTAACTTATAATGCCATAAACTATCTCAAATTAAGATGGTGCCTTGATGGGATTTGCTGTTTGTACCTATCTTTCTCGGTCTCTTTTTCATCCTTTTTCCTATGTTTACATCCTTTTCTCTACTCAAAACCACGTCAGAAAGCTTGTATCCTTAAGCATCTTGTTTGTATTCATTTATTCCGCCCATGGCGCCACTTTTCTTCTCTTAATGAATTTTCAACAGTTGGTTGTATTTTTCTCCTGTGTTACTGACATGTTTCATCTTTTTCTTGACAGTAAGACTGTCTGATCTTTTTTTTTTTTCCTAATTATTTTTCATATTTTACATAGTAATTTGATTTGATTGAGTTCCCAGTTATAGTTTTGTAAGTTTCCTGTAGGTTCTGCGTGGAGATAATAGTTCCTTAGCAAATGACATTCGCAAGGAGATGAAGGTACATGCTGTAAACAATTTCTGTTACCATCTTCTACCATGGCATAGTCTCACATCCATCTAAAATTCTGTTTACAACACTAATGCTTTTTGATGCACTAATTATTTCGGTGAAATATTTATTTTTTAAAATATTTGATGAATTTCTGCAGGCTTTGAATGCTAAGCTTTTAAAAGCCAAAGATAGAAATACTAAGAGAGATATTAGAAAGGAACTTAGGACTCTATCCAAAGAAGAGCGTAAAAGGCAACAGCTGGCAGTGACCGATGTGATTAAGAATGCTGATGTCGTATTGACAACCTTGACTGGTGTGTTGACTAGGAAGTTGGAAGGCTTTACATTCGATTTGGTTATTATTGACGAAGCCGCCCAGGCATTAGAAATAGCATGCTGGATTGCTCTTTTGAAGGTAATGATCGAATTATACGTGAATGAAGTCATATTACACTATATTTTTATTTTCTGTTATTTTCTGGTTGTGGTGGGAGCATATGGGACTTAACATGGATGTATCTATATACAGTTTTGAGTGAGATAGATATTTAACAATATATATTTGATATAGTAACTCCAGAAGATGTAGCGTTCTCTTAGCATCAATCACTTTTACACCCTGAGATTTCTACAAAATTCATTTTTCGCAAGCCATGTTTGCTGCCTGAGAGTTATAAACTGACCTCACAAGTTCTGACTTCCGATTAGTTACCAAACATGGTTTTATTTACGGATTGTTGCTAAAATATGTGGTTTTCCCTTACTAGGGTTCAAGATGTATATTAGCAGGCGATCACCTCCAGCTTCCCCCAACTATTCAAAGTGTTGAAGCTGAGAAGAAAGGATTAGGAAGAACCCTATTTGAGCGCCTTGCTGACTTATATGGAGATGATGTCATGTCTATGCTCACCGTTCAATACCGCATGCATGAACTTATCATGAATTGGTCATCCGAAGAACTCTACAATGGCAAGGTGCTCAGATATTCTAATCTCTCTCTCTCTCTCTCTCTTGTAATTAATAGCATTCTCTCTTTCATATTTTCTTAATTTTGGTTGATTTGAACTTGGGAGCTGTTTGGAACAATCCAATATAGAAGAATTAATTCCTAACTCTCTAAGGTTTCGTATGGACAAATTGAAGTCCCCAAGGAAAAAAATTCTCTGTCGATGGCCTCCCAGAGAACTATCACTAATAGTCATTTGTTATTTTGAAGACAAGCACCTTCCTATAAACATGAATTCTGCGGAGTCCTTGCTGAAATCTTTGTAAATATTCTAAAATGTTCATCTTGATTTAGGGTTTTTTAGGTTACTTAAAGGACCCCGAAAGATTACAAAGAAAAAAAGACCCCACACATTTAGTCATAATTCAGACACCTGGATTATGCCGCGAACTCCATTGTTGACTTCGTTCGTTCCACCTCGAATAACAGGTTAAAGCCCATTCAAGTGTTGCAGCCCATACTTTATACGAGCTTGAGGATGTCAAGAAGTCATCTTCTACGGAGGCGACACTCCTTCTCGTTGACATAGCTGGGTATGCTTTTATTTTTTATTTATTTTTAATTTTTTTAAGCATGTACATACATGGTCCTACAGTCCTACCCTAGGAGTTTGTAGTTTGAGTGGGTATCCTAGTTATTGATGTTGTAAGTATTTTTATCAGATGTGATATGGAAGAGAAGAAGGATGAAGAAGATAGCACGTTAAATGAGGGTGAAGCTGCAGTTGCTGTAGCACATGCTAAGAGACTTGTCGAAAGTGGAGTTCAAGCTGCCAACATAGGAATTATTACACCTTACGCCGCACAGGTACATATGTACACACACATGAAATCGTGAAACTGTGTCTAGTTTATGATGAATATATAATGACAGAAGATTCATCATGTCAATGCTATTTTCAGGTTGTGCTACTGAAAATGTTAAGAAGCAAAGAAGACAAGCTAAAAAACGTGGAAATATCTACAGTTGATGGTTTTCAAGGCCGTGAGAAAGAAGCAATTATCATTTCAATGGTTCGGTCGAATTCGAAGAAAGAGGTACTAATAGTTCTACTAAACAATAAATCATTTTAAAATTGGTTGAGCTTCGTATTGGCATAAAGGTTATAATTCAGAAACTGCTCCGTTTTCAGGTTGGCTTTTTAAGTGATCGCAGGAGAATGAATGTCGCTGTGACACGAGCAAGGAGACAATGTTGCATTATTTGTGACACCGAGACTGTTACTGGCGATAAATTCTTGAAGCGCTTGATTGAGTACTTTGAGGAACATGGTGAATATTTAAGCGCTTCAGAGTACGGCACTGAGTAAATCGGAAATTCTCTTCAAGAAGGTTCTTTTTTGTGAACTGGAAGCATCTTCTCAAGGATTCTCATCTCACGATTAGATCCTTTGATTTGACACTTGCGAAATACATGGAACATATGTTGCTTGATTAGTTGACATTGTTCTAATGTGTAATGGAAACAAGCTATAATTATTTATCTCGTCTTTTACCTGTTTTGACCATATTGACTTGAATGCTTATAATTAGTCTTTGTCTTTGTCTCCCGACTTAGGCATACAAGTTCGATTGCTACTTAAGGTGAAAGGAATATTTCACTTCAAGTATTCTTCTTTTGTAGATTATTTTTTTCTTACACTAGTAACAAAAATGCAGCTGTTATTACATGGCGTTTACGTTTACTAATCTATGTAAATGTGTAAGAGATACATTCGTATGGTATCGACTCCTGTGATTAGATAAATTTCTCGACTCGTTAAAAGTTCCAGATGGATGGTGAAAAAACCAGCTCTTCGTTACTATCATGTACCTGGTAAGTACTGGATTCTGCTCCGACATGAATATCTGCTCCACCTATTTCACTCAGCGTATCCCAATTAAAATTCTTTTCCGCGTAATTGCAGAATCCATCTTCATCATCTCTGAAAGATGACAACGATTCTATTTCCGTAAAACTTTTCGACACATCACTGACACAAGTCTGATGCTCGTCTCTTTTCAGCACCCCTAGCTGCTGGAGGAACTCGTTCAGATCAATCTGAGGCTTCTCTTCGGAGGTAACCGCTTTAACTCCAGACGTAATTTCGTTGTCTTTCTTCTCCTTTTCAAGAATTTCCACACTTTGCACGTCTTTTTTGGGTGCTGAGCTGGACGAAGACGAAGAATCAAGGCCAAAAACTCCCGTTTTCTTGAGTTCTTGCAGCCTCTGGTGAATCACATGCACACTAGGCTGAGCATTCAGATTGAGCAAGCCTGTAGTAGGGAACATCGAGACCAAGTTATTCGAATTCGAATTCGAATTCGAAGGGAACCATTTGAACTTGTGTGATTTGTTCAAAGGGTTGAAATTCGACCTCAAATGAGGGAGATTAAGGTAAGCCTCCGGTCCATATAATCTTCTCGCCGCTTCATCGTAGGCCATTGCCGCCTCTTCTGCGGTAGCAAAAGAGCCGAGCCATAGCCTGGCCCGTTTCTTGGGTTCTCTGATCTCAGCCACCCATTTCCCCCACGTCCTCTGTCGAACGCCACGATACTCACACGTGGCGTTTTGGGGCCCGCCTTTGCCTCTCGCGGGTCCCTTTTTCCAGGGCTTGAGTGGTGATTTTCTGCAGTTTTCCATGTTAGTTAGTGTGTATCCTTCAGTCTTTAGTGTACTGTGGTGGGGTAGAATTGTTGAGGGTGTTTTTCTTTTTCTTTTTTGGGCTACAGATTGGAGTGATTGGCGCGGGTTATGTATACACACACAAACACACACACAAACACACAAAAACACACAGTGAGCCTATATTGGTTTAAATGTGTTCACGTTTGGAGAAATTGATTTTGAAGCTACATGTGACCGTTGTGCTCACTGAGTGTTAGTTACTACTTACTAGTACTACTACTAATACTCAAGTGTTCACTACAGTGCAACAAGTCACATGTTTCTTTCTATATTTTTTCACTAGGATTTTTTTCTTTTTTAATTTTAATATTTTTAATATTTTTTAATTTTTGTTTAATTTTTTTTTAAGTTTATGTATATATTGATAAATTATCGTTATATCATTTCTTTCTTTTTTTTTTCCCTTTCGAATTAGCCTTATGAAATGGTGTACAATTGCAGACACTAACTTTTCAACTAAAGAAAAGGCCGATACAACTTTAATGGTATATGAACATCGAAGCTAACTTTTCGATTATATATTTCTTATTTAGTATTTTAGATTACCGGTCGTAGAATGGTATATTTCGTCTCGTATTCTATTTAATTCATTGATATACACACCACTCGTAAATTATCCGCAATATCAAAATTCAAAATATTAATAAAATAAGAAGACAATTTTTTTTATAATTCAGGTTTGTATGCAATATTTTTGGTCTTAGTATAGGCGACAATGTAATAACTTAGTTCACAAAATGGAATAGTGCAAGTGCAGCCATACAAACACGTGACAAGTATGAATCTTAACTCATTACATCATAATTAAGAATCCAAGGTTTTTAACGTAAACTTATGTCTCTTAATTAAGCTTCTAATTACTGCATAATTAACAATTAATTAATGCAACAAAATTAATTTAAGTTAAATGTATTCACAGAATCACAGGTATATATGTATTAATAATTAGTACCTCCTCGGATACCTTTACCAGTGGCACAGTAGAACTAAGAATATTGATATATGTAATTAATAATTGCAAATTGCAAGTATGGAATTTGGTTTTTGGACTATATAAATAAATTTTATGTATACAGAATTGTAAGAAGAGAGGATTCACGAGTTTATTTCACATGTTCGTCTACGGACTATATCACCTTTATCCCATGCATGCATCCTCTCCTCTAATTTTGCAAAAATAAACAATTTATTTATTTATGTTTTGTTTTTATATATTTATAATTTTATATTTTATTTAATGATATTCCTTTTTTCAAGAATAATAATAGTCTCAATGAGCTATTTCAACCTATCAAATTAATTATATGAACATTTATCACATACTAATTTCTTATCTTTATTTAACAATCATGCAATAAAGTACTTCAAAAGGGATTTTTTTTTTTTTTTTAATTTGCAAACTATTGTACAAAAGTAGATGTTTATCTCATACATCTGTACATTCCCGTGAAAATGGGACAATTGTATAATCTACGGATCAATTCGTCTTTACAAGCACAAATGGACCATTAATTTTTAGTGGGAGTTGATAATTTTGGAGATAAAATGCCTATAAATGTTTGCAATTATATTAATCCTTTAATAAATAAAAGATTCTTACAATTACAACTCCTTGTAGTTTTGAAAGAATATTCCTAAAATCTAATATTTTGTTTTTATTATTGAAGCTTTAAGGGGTAAATATTAAACGGTGCATACCCTCAGTGTATGGTGAATATAACTATGCAAATAAGAGGATTTTTTTTTTAACTAGCGGTGTATGTAATTTATCCTAAATTGTATTATTGCAATATAAATTCTTTAATCTTTAATCCTTCAAGGAATCTCAAAGTATATATAGATCATAATATTATTTTTATGAATAATAAAGCACAAAATTAATTACATGTTTTATTTCTGAATAACAGTTGTTGCAATTTGGTACGCAATACTTGGATCTGTCCACATCTGAACTACAACAGCCAAGACCGTGTTTGGCCTGACTTTTCTCAAATTCATTCCACAATTCCTCTTCCAAAAATCACACACACACACACACACACACACACACAGTTACTGGAATTCTTCGAAATCCCTGATTTCTCCATCAATGGGGGATCTATTTTTCAACACACATCTCACCATTTGCAGCAGTTTCTCTTAAGCTCACCTCTTTTACTCGTTTCATCTTCTTATTGTTCGATTTAACCAAAATAAAAATAAAAAATTAAATTAAATCTTTTTTCCATCTGATCTGCATTCGATTCCGCAGCATTATTGGGAACATATAACCACACACATATATATACCTTACGTATGTCGATTTCTTACAGAAAAGCCAGAATAAAAACCGCACCTTTTCCCCGTCGTTTATTGTCATTTGCTGCCACAGGAATTATCCTGTTAGTAGTGTTAATGCTGACAAAGGAAAAACTCCGAATAATGCAAATCAACTACTCGTTAGATTTCAAGAATCTGAAGCTCCCCCCACAGAACAAGCTCTCAATCTTCTTACAAAACCGCAATCTGATGAAACCGATGAACTCAGATTTATACCCAAACCTAGCAGACAATCACATAATCATCGTGTTATACGTTCACAACCGCCCCCAATATCTCCAAATTGCCATCGACAGCCTCTCCAAAGTTTCCGGAATCGAAGAAACTCTGCTGATAATCAGCCACGACGGTTATTTCAAAGAGATGAACAAGATTATAGAGAGCATTAAATTCTGCCAAGTGAAGCAAATATTCGCCCCGTTTTCCCCTCACATTTACCCCACCCGATTCCCCGGTTCTTCGAAGTTCGACTGCAAGAGTAAAGAAGATCCCTCCAAAATGACATGCAGAGGGAATCCGGATCAGTACGGAAGCTTCCGATCGCCAAAGATCGTGTCTTTAAAGCACCATTGGTGGTGGATGATGAATACTGTGTGGGATGGATTAAAAGAGACGAGCGATAATAACTACTCTCGCAACATTTTATTCATAGAAGAGGACCATTTTATCTACCCGAACGCCTATCGAAATCTCCATCTACTTATAGAATTGAAGAACGAAAAATGCCCGCATTGCTATGCGGTGAACTTAGCACCGGCTAACGTTTTATCAAGGGGAGAAGAATGGGATTCTTTAATAGCGGAGAAAATCGGGAATATAGGGTACTCGTTTAATCGCACAGTGTGGAGAAAGATACATAAGAAGGCAAGGGAGTTTTGTTTGTTCGATGAGTACAATTGGGATATTACAATGTGGGCGGCGGTCTATCCTTCGTTCGGTGGGCCTGTCTACACTCTACGGGGCCCCCGCACAAGCGCGGTTCACTTTGGGGAATGCGGTCTGCACCAGGGGCAAGGTGGTAAAACTGCGTGCGTGTATAACGGGGGTTTGGATTTCGAGGTGAAGGAGATTGATAGGGTTGCTAATATTGACTCGGAGTGGGGAGTTTTCGTAAGAGAGCAGGGCAAAGATGAAGGTTATAAAAATGGGTTTAAGGGGTGGGGTGGGTGGGGGGATGTTAGAGACAGACAACTATGTCTCGATTTTTCGAAAATGTATCGGAATTAAGGTAAAGTTTTTGTTAGAGATTAAGTAGTTGGGATCATTCAAGAATCACTTACCAGGATGTTTTGTTGAGTTTACTTTGAACTTGTACTCAAGTTTTTGGGAAGTGATTTCTTTACTTTGTTGAAGCTTTTAATATGTTCTCACACCATCAACAAATTTCCAGTACACACACACACACACACACACACACACACACACACACACACACACACACACAAACACACACACTGATTTTACAGTGTAAACTTCAGCTTAATTTGCTAATGAACTAAACTAAAAACAATACAATTAAACCTCTATAAATTAATAGAGTCGGAACTAACAAAATTCTATTAATTTAGCGAAATATTAAATTATCGAACTAATGATTTAATACGTTTTCACCGAGTCGGGATCGAGATAAATTATTATTTATGCCAGGTTACTGATTTATCAAGGCTCTATTGTATGTTTATTTTTGAAAATTGAATTCTTTCAAGTCAACAAGACAACAACAACTTACACTTTCCATAAATTACGGCCAAAAAAGGAAAAAAAAAAAAGCACGAAGAAAGTGTATTTTCAAAGGTACAATCAAATCTAAAATCAAGGTACAAGCACCAGAAGCACATAGAAACACCACCACACCTAACCGATTCCTACCCAAAATTTTGCAAAATTAAATTGAAAATAAAAAAAATAAAAATAAAATACCGTTGTACAGGACGATCAGAATCTAGGGTCTGGAGGCGGCGGCGAGGGGAAGGCGGGGGAAGATGCTGAAGACGTAGGAGACGGCGTCGAGGAGGAGAAGCTCCATTGCCTCGACGAAGAGATTGAGGCTGCGGATCGGCGGTATGTACAGAATGAGCGGCGCCGCCGCGAACGCAGCCGTGAACAGCAGCTCCAGCATCGTCGGAACTTTAGCGCGTGGAATTTAATTTTAGTTTTTTGGGGTGTGAGAAATGGTTGTGGCTGTGTATTTATTTAAGCAGTGTGTCGTGGATAATTGGAACCCGCCAGAAATTTCTAATTTTTGGTAGTTGTGTCCCATAGTTGACTTTTGTAGAATTATTTAGGCATAGAATATTGGAGTTTTAATCTGGCTCGATCCAAATATAATCGGGCCGAACCATGGTTATGCCCGGCTCAATTGCTGGTCATAACGAAACTTGAACGGAGAGAGTGCTATGTCCAAAATATAATAATTGGAACTCACTAGTATATAGAATTATTCAAAATAGATTTACGAGCTAAAACCCCTAAAAGATAAATAAATGAATCTACTCGGATGGAATATATTATTTTTAATTAAATTTTACGAACTGCATTATGAGTTTATTTAAGAGCAAATTACGGCTATCCTTAAAGTAAGGGCATATTACAAAAAAATCATTTATGTTTGGGTAATTACAATCACCCCTCATTCAGTAGGTAAACTTGATATTATAACTTTATGAGAATGGACGTGCAAGACAATACTTAGTTGAGGGGTAGTTGCAATTAGGGGTGGGAACGAGCCGAGCTCGGCTCTTTTGGCCAGCTCGAGTCCATGTTGCCGAGCTCGAGCTCATTTAATTTATTTTTATTTTTATTCTTATTTTTATTTTTTATTATTAAAATCATTTGATTTTTTATTAAAAAATATTTATAAGAAAATAAAAAAAATTTATAAAAAATAAAAAATGAACTCTAGTTATATATATTTTTTAATTTTTCTATTATTATTATAACATATTATTTTATTATGAATTGTTTAAGTAATATAGATTTGTTTCTATTTAAATAATATAAATATTTATTATTATAGATTATTTACTATTTAGTTAATAATAATAATAAGAATAATATATATATATATATATATATATATATATATATATAATAATAATAATTAAAAAAAAGAAGGCAGCTCGCGAGCCGGCTCGCGAGCTGTCGAACAACTAACTTTGGGCTCGAGCTCGTGAGCTCGAACTCGAGGTCGAAAAACCCGAGCTCGAGTTCGAGCCGGCTCGACTTGTTTACCACCCCTAGATGCAATTACCCAAACAAGAGGAGATTTTCGTAATTTCACCTTACAATAGTGAGTTGGCTGTGATTTGCCCTTTATTTAATTTAACATAATTGAGTTGAGCAAGACTCGAAATCTAATAACTCGAGTCATATTATATTGTACAAAAAGTTCAGTCACTCAGTTCTCAATGTAAAATAAATTCAAATATAAATTTGTACTGTATATAAATAAAAAATGCAACAAGGACGCATTTTTCTTGTCCAAATTGGCTAGTTGGGTTCTTCATAATGGCACCCATAAACAGTTGTGCATTGTAGTAAAATTCAGACGAGGGAAACACCCGACGGAATATTCATCGGATCAAAATAAATAAGCACACATTTTAGGATCGTTCTTGGAAACTTCTAATTACGTATTTACATAATAAGAAGAAAGAAAAAAAAAACTAACGAGAAGTCAAATATACGACAAGTTGGCGACAAATTTGCCTTACATCTGGGGAAGGTTCCGTTGAGGAAAGCTTTTGAAGCAACGCTCTTGCTTCTAATAGTCCGGCCGATATACTTTCTACCACGTCTTCTTCACTTGCCATAAGACACATGACCAATTTTGCACCCGCCATTCTCTCCTGTCGAAGAATGACAAGCTAACCGTGTGAAAACAAAATTAAATAAAATTAAAAAAACTACGATGAACTTGCATAACCCGAGAAGAAATCGACTAGTAACAAATTAGAATGTAAAGGGCTTTAATCACGCGAAAAATGTGCTGCCACCCTTTCAGTGATTTAGGCCTCGTTTGGATGGAACTTATTTGGTATTTGATTAATCCAATTATATTTCGGGATATCTTGGCTAATTCCATTGTCAACCAACCAACTAAACAAGGCCTTCAATCGATTCGTAAGTTCACATTTCGACATTTATATAATTACAACTTAAGAATACCTTCTGCGATCCGTCTCTAAGTGATTTGAGAGCGACACTGAGAAGATCGTTAGAATGTGAAAATATCGAAGACTTCAAATGGTACGCCACGGAGAAGAGAATCTGGACGCATGCTGCCCTAATATCCGGCTCCACAACCTCCTACAAACGGAACATATGGCTAAAGAACGACGAAAACGAAAGAAGTATAATCAACCTAAGTCCGACAATAATATACGTACCCCAATAGAACGGATAACACACGGAACAATTTTCTTAACAAAAGACTTCTTCCCAGTGTCTGATATCTTCTGACAAGCGCTTATAAGTACATTAGCCATGCAAAGTCGAAACGAGAGTCGGGCTGTTGCGTCAGTCACCCTATCACTTCCCTCGGATTCGAAAGAACTATCTTTCTTGTCTCCTGTTAATTGATTCATCACATACGCAAGTACAGAATCTCTTGCAATAGCCGTGCCTGCAAATTTTGTAACATAGGGGTATTTACCTTTTTTTTTTTATGAGGAAATTTGAAGAAAAAAAAAATCAAACACGAAGCTTATATGCTCTAGATACGAACCTTTTGAGGATTTTGGACTTTGTATTTCAGTGCACAACATTAAAGCTAGACAGTCTATGCACCCATGTTGTGCTTTGGAAACTGTGGACAAATATATTGCAAGCCGATTGCGAGTCGAAATGAGAAAGGGAAATTAAGGAGCATAGTCACGTGCTGCTTACTTTTGCCTAAATAAATAAATAAATAATAATAATTAAAAAGAAAGAAAAAAGTGCTACTTACTTTCGTCACTATCCACGGATGACCATGAAAGAATTTGGTGTATCGTTTTCCTAATTCTGAACGCGTTAGGATGCTTATAAGTAGAGTTGCCTCTAACCTAATCCCGGGAAAAAAGAATAATGAAAGGTTGCCGAAGTTGAATACTTGCAATAACATATTAAAGTGGATGGTGGTGATGACATTACCATTAGAGATGTACAAAAGGAAAACAGACAAACTTTGATCTTAAACACGTCCTTGGCATTAGCAGCGGCTTCCAATTCCGAGGACAAAATTGGAACGAGAATCTGCATTTTTGTAAAAACAGTGAGATCACCATAACTAATAAAAAGCACTAAAAAAAATAAAAAATATCAAGAAAGTGGATCATGAAATAAATACCTCAGGGTGAATTCTCCCACAGAGCTCTGCAGCAAGTTTCCGGACATCTTCAAATTCAGACTTACTCAACGCCCTAAACAAGATAAATTAAATGCAAATATTAAATTATTTTCACAAACACCAACACCTCAAAATTGTTCATTTGTCGGTCAAACCTGCTAATCATTAATGCAGCAATGCAGTCAGAGACCTCGATGTTAATTTGCCTGTTTTCTGAGGCAACAACAATATAAGATGATAATTCTCATACGAATCAATACTAATACAAATTAAATTCAAGGAGTAAAAGGATTATACAAGCAAATCAGATATAAGAAGCATACCCCGTAGAGGTGAATTACTCGGGAGATCACCGTATACAAGAGGAGAATTGAGGTCATCAAAAACTCTCAAAGGAAGCAGTCTGATTATAAGCAATGGGCAAAGGCGATTAAATAGGCAATGTTCATGTTTCATAGCCTCACTCTTCGAATCTGTCCTTCCTTTCCATTTCGAATTGCATTCATCGATTCTGCTCAAGGCCAAGACAAATATAAAAACAAAGATAAATAATGAGATTATGATATCTAGCGATTGTAATAAATTTCCTGGTAATAACCACAATATAATAGTAAAATACTGACACACATTCTGTAAGGGAATACGTTGGCAAAACAATAACCAATGTAAGGAATTCATAAATTGAAACAAATTAAAGGAATAGCACACGAAAAAGTTAAATGAAGAGGGAGATCATAATGCTTGGTTACTCACACTTTCTGTTGTTTCATATACGATACAAGTCGGTTAAAGACTATATCCACAGCCTCAGCCAAGTATTCACTTATATGACTGAGGAACCTGACAATAAGAGCATTTGATGGTTCGGCTAACATCTTGTCTATCAAGGGACCAACCACTACATGCCAATCTTCAACCTGGAAAAAAATTCACGGAGCCCTTATGGTTAAATAATGAGACTTAGAAACCAACTGACACTTCCAAATTTATATATCTCGAATGCGATGAATAAAATTTTATGACGAAGTGAGTATTTGTATTATGTCGACTGCCTTCTCTTTAACTGTAAAGAGCAAAGTCCAAAATTTGATCGGGTGGATACATGTGATCAGAGTGGAGATATGTGCCACACTGTAGTTATGTTTTACTATGGAAAACGTTTATGTATATTACATTACAATCTTACATGTTTTGCCCACTCTGAAAGCAACTTCAAGAGCCTATCAGCATCCAATGTTGATCCTGCAATGCAAAGGTTAAAAGTGAACATTGAACAACATCAAATAGGTAATATATTTGATTTTGGTTAAGCGTCAAAAATGGAACCCCCCCAATAAATAGGCCAAACTGTTGGAAAATGAGTTTCAGATGCTTCAGGCATACCTTCTTTTGTACCAATGACAGCACCGGAATCTGGGTTTTGAGATAGTTTGCTGCAGAAGACAATACTAAGATTGTCAAATTACAAATGCAAACAAAGAGAGATACTTTCTACCTTCACGTATTGTGTAGTCTAGAAAGTAGTTTGACCAAATGTTTGCACAGACTTACAAGTATGACTACCAAACAAATTAAAAAAAAAAGACAAAGAAATATTCTATTGGTCACATTACCTGAGGCAATCAAGCAGCAAGCACAGAATTTCAGGGTTGTGTTTATGATTGACTAGCAACGCAACAAGTGCAGTACTCGCTGATATCTGCACGCTTTCTTGTGTTGAATAACTTAGGTCAACAAGAGTAGACAAGACCAACGGTGGATCTGCAGAGTAATTTGAAGTGAAAAACTAGAAGAAGTGGATCAATTGCTATATGCATCAGGTGCAAAGAGGTAATTTCACATTCAAGTGATGTTTTGCTATATGAGTGAAAAGGATATATAAATGGTGTGTGTGTGTGTGTGTGTGTATTCAGCAACTATAATGCATACATAGTAGTATTGAATAGAAAAACTGCAGACTAAGATACTGCCTTGTGAAAAGGAGACGCTGATATGTGCTGTTTCGACAATGAGTCATTGAACTTAAAAGCATTTTTTCTGATTTTATAGTTAATTCGCCTGACTTATAATGTTTCTCTGAACGATCATTGAACAACTTAGCTAACTAACAAACTAACCAATCATGGGAATCAATTTAGCCGCCTGATCTCTTATAATCTGATCTTCATCTCCAAGACACTCTAACAAGTGATTCGCGACATCTTGCCTGAAAATGCAGAAAAAATATTAAACATTCAAAAAATCCAAAATCAACAACAATGTGAGGAACCATCATAAGTGTAAGAACCATTAAATTAGTTACACACCAAGAGGCTTGCGGAAGTGTGTTAGTCGATCCAGTAGACACATGGATGAGATCAGACAGAACATCAATGGCATTCCTTCTCTGTGCAACATTTTTGGAGCCAATGCGCTTCAGAACTTCATTAAGGCACTCACTATCCGAGCATCTGTCAGGCATAAACGTTAACAATTATGCTAGAGCGTAGTAATGCGCTTTGACTACCAAACAAACCTAAGATGTCGTAGATCGATCATACATTGAGCAATATTCTGCAAGAAGCTTAACAATAGCTTTTGCTGCTGCATCTCGCTCATCCAAAAGATTTAGCAACAGCGGCAGTAAAGCATCCATTTGTCTAACGTCACCCATACTTCTCTTGGATAAAGTATGATTTGTTCCTAAGACAACAGCTTTAAATATGCTCATAGCTCCATTAATCACTTCCTCGTCAGGACATCGTAGCTGCAAAATATAATCACCTTGATGAGGAAACACTTCAAATACATCGTAGTTCTGGAAAATTTTGAGTTAAGACAGGCAATATGCTGCACAACTCAATTAATAAAATTCACATAACTACCTGAGAGATGAGAACTTGAGAAACTTGAGATCCAAATTCTGTTACTGCATTTGCAAATTGCTCATTATCTAGTCGGCCCAACAAAAGCAAAAGGCAGTTCAGAAAAAAATTTATGGTCTCTGACTTGCTGCTTTTGCTCGCATCATGTTCTTCAGCTTGGTCGTCTGCATAAAACTGCAATTGTTCATAAGAATCTAAGAATGGCAGAAGAAATAAAAGCAACAGGCAGAAAGTGGATTATCACATATTAAAGGTCTTGTTTTTTCTCAAGATTAACAATGTAAATACAACTCCAAATGAAAGAGTGCTACCTGAATACCAGACAAATATTGTTCCAATAATTCTTTATGCTGCTGAGATATTTTGTGGTCTTCTAAGCGCAAGAGCATGCCGTAATGTTTCCAACAAGAAGAGAGAAGCAAGGAACCAGTCTTCAGCATCTGCAATTCTGTCTTTCCCCAACAAAGATAGGAAAATAAGAACTAAATCCCGAGAAGGACAACAACGGAAAAGTATTTACACACATGCAATATCAATAAGACCTGCCTCATCTTGAAAGGAAGAATTATGTTGTTTCAGTTCCTTTAGCCACTTAAGTACCCTTTCCAATCCTTTTGCCTGCAAAGATCGGCTTTTCCTGCTCCACTGCATTTTTTAAAGAAAAATACCAATTATTAACAAGTTGTGATTGAAAAGGCTAACCAAAATCTCAAGAGCAAAATAGTTTAAGCCCGCTCCCTCGGGTCCAAGTCTCCCGGCTTGATAATTTCTCTAGATTCTGAGTAGAATTAGACAGAAGGATCCTATATTGATATACTTGCTGAAAATAGTCGATAAAGAAAGTTAAGATCATACAGCTGTAAGTTTCTTCACAAGGGTTATGAGTTCTTCAAGATTATTCCAAAGAAGGAACTTCAATTCCAAGCTGGGAGGTAGTTCAGATGCCTTCCTCAATGTATCCTCGTCTCTATCATTAGTAGCAGTGACTAACGAATTGAGAGGCTGACTTTTAGCAGTAACAAAAGATGATGTTTGCCTTTTAGTTATGTTGTTGGATGGCAGATCTTTTCTGGTCAATGCTACGGTAAGAGATAAAATAAAATCAGCAGCAGCAACTGCAAGCCGAGTTGGCAACTCAAATCCCTCGTGCATGTTGCTACAATTTTCAAATAATCAGACATACAATCAGAAAGCATTAAATGCAAAATAAAATAAAATTTAATAGAAGTGTCAAAGTCTACTCGGAAGAGTAGAGTGTGATGGGAACGTACCTTCCCTTGCATATTATAGATAAAAGATGGGTGACACACGAACAAAATATCTTCAGTATTACAGCATACTTCTCCCTTATTGCTGCATGAATACCAAATATTTACGTGTTAACAACTCCTAATTAGTTCTTGGGTTATTAGATGAGCAAAGATAAGGTAGTCGCCAGTATTAAAGATCTCAATAAAGAATTAACCCACAAAGTGCAAAATGAAAAGAAAAAGGAAAGGAAAGAATAAAATAGTTACCGTTCGAATCTAGAGTTGCATACAGGCATGTAAGGAATAATTCAATCCAATACAAACATAAATCCAAAACCCAATACTACGGTAGGCGCTTAATCCAACTTTCTGTTTTATTAATAATTTACGGGGAGAAAAATGAGTAAAAACCGTAACCACGTTGAAATCACATGGAGGAAGCAGTATCAGAACAAGAAATAGTATATCGAGAACGAGACAAATACAGGGAATATCCAAGTAATAGGTAATTCACCATTAGTCGCGACATTCTTTGCAACATTCTCATATTCAATAAGACTGCGTCCAAGAATACACCACCCAAGAGCCACATAGCGATCGTCCCTTCTCGAAATAACAGCTGCCAAATTCGTCACGGTGACTTGGAACAAAACCTCGTCTTGAAACAACCAATTCAGCAGTATCAACACACTGTTTCCCCGTTTCGACTCTCTCGTCGTTAATGTCTGACAATAAAGACAGCGAGCATCAGTAGTTACTAAAAATCACTTCACATTGCAGCAAACTGTAATGTAAATGCCCTAGATTTTGCAGATTACTAATTCGACTGTTTATAATATCGTTCCGTCGAACACTACAACATAAATTGCGTATGCATATTCAACTAATTCAAGTGTCCAATATCGTAATTAACAGAGAAAAGCGTGTACATGTTGAAGAATGGGAACGAGGACTTGATCCAAATGCTCGCCTGTTTCCGCAGCTTCGCCTATGTACTTGTGTAGAAACCATAGTGACTGCTCCATAGAAACTTCAATACAAAAAACCACGAATTAAACTTCAAAAAAATAAAATCAGCAAAATTAAAAAAATTGCGCGAAAATTGAAACCAAGTTCAGATATATATATATATATTGCCTATATTATAAAAACCGTACCAGTAAGGGCTGCAATTTTGGGTGGGGAATGGAGGTTAGAAATGGCGTCCTGGAGTTTCTTCGGCTTCGCGCTGAGTAGAGTGGTCATGGCCCGGCCCACCGTCGCTGAAACCATTGGGCCCGATTCCGAGCCCGAAGTATGCCCGATTAAGTGGTGCTCTTCTCCTTCTTCCATATGTGCGTGCTAGAGAGAGAGAAAGCTAGAGAGAGAAAATAATTAGAACAGAGGAATTGCTCTTTTTGGACATTTGGAGTCGTTTAAGTGGACAAATGCATAAGACGGCGTCGTATCGTTTTAAAACAAATAACCTCGACTGACTAAAGTTTAAACCCTTCTCTCCGCCGCCATCCGCCGCCGTGATGCATCGCCGCTCCGCCACCCATTGAGAAAACTTCCAAAAATCGCCATAAATGCTTCTTCGTCAGTGGAAAGAACCATTGGAACAGCTAACACTACAATCTCCGAAACAAACCACAGTTATTTCATCAGGATTTCCTCACAATTCACTCAATCAACAAAGCTTCGAATTAAACTACCGCTGCATATGCAACCACTTGATCGAATTTACTCGCGGGAAGAATCTGCTCAGAGGCCAGTCTTTTCACGCCCACGTCATCAAATCCGGGCTCCAAACAATTCCTCTCATTTGTCATCATTTGATCAACTTCTACTCCAAGGTTCAGCTCCCGTATTTGTCGGAGCAAATTTTCCGCGAAACCCACTTCAAATCTTCCACCACTTGGAGTTCTATCATATCGTGCTTCACTCAGAATGAACTCCCGTTTAATGGGCTTGAGTATTTCAAGTTAATGCTGCGGAATGATGGAATGTTTCCCGATGATTATACTTTTCCGCTGGCGACAAAAGCTTGTGCAATGGTCAATAGTCACTGTTTGGGACAGTCGGTGCACTGTCTAGCCACGAAAATCGGCTATGATGTGAATGTCTACGTGGGGAGCTCTGTCGTGGACATGTACGCCAAATGTGGGAGTTTAGGGGATGCGAGGAAGATGTTTGATGATATGCCCGAAAGAAACGTGGTTTCTTGGAGTGGGATGATATATGGTTACGCGCAAATGGGAGAGGACAGAGAGGCTCTGACCCTTTTCAAGGGTGCGTTATTGCAGGGTTTGGCTGTGAATGATTTCACGTTCTCGAGCGTGATTCGCGTTTGTGGGAATTCGACATTTTTTGAATTAGGGAAGCAAATGCACGCTCTGTGCTTGAAACTGAACTACGACGAAACAAGCTTTGTGGGCAGTGCTTTGATCTCTATGTACTCAAAGAGTGGCATGATCGAGGGCGCTTATCAAGTGTTTGACGAAGTTTCCGACAAGAATCTAGGCATGTGGAACGCCATGTTGATTGCTTGTGCCCAGCACGCGCACACAAAGAACGTCTTCGAATTGTTCAAGAAAATGAAAAACGCAGGAATGAAGCCAAATTTCATCACATTTTTGTGCATGCTCTATGCGTGCAGTCATGCGGGCTTAGTGAACGAAGGAAAGCATTACTTCAGTACAATGAAAGAATACGGGATAGAGCCAGGAAGTCAACACTACGCATCTATGGTTGACTTGCTTGGTCGAGCTGGAAAATTGGACGAGGCAATGAAATTAATCGAAGAAATGCCAATGCAACCAACAGAGTCCGTTTGGGGAGCTTTACTGACAGGATGCAGAATTCACGGAAATACCGAGCTGGCAGGTTCGGTGGCCGATAGGGTCTTTGAGGTGGGGCCCGTAAGTCCGGGCCTACACGTGATGCTATCCAACGCTTACGCAGCAGCTGGCAGATATCAAGAGGCTGCAAAGGCAAGAAAAATGCTTAAAGATCGTGGGCAGAAAAAGGAAACGGGATTGAGTTGGGTTGAAGAAGGTAATAGGATACACACGTTTGCTGCGGGTGATAGAGGGCATGAAATTTCTGATGAGATTTATAGGAAGCTCGAAGAATTGGGAGAGGATATGGAGAGGGCTGGTTATGTGGCGGACATGAGTTATGTGTTGAAAGAAGTTGGTGATGAAGAGAAGGGGCGGATGATTAGGTACCATAGTGAGAGATTGGCTATTGCTTTTGCGTTGATTAAGTTTCCGAAGGAGAGGTCGATTAGGGTTATGAAGAACTTGCGTGTGTGTGGCGATTGTCATGTTGCGATTAAGTTTATATCAAAGTGCGTCGGGAGGGTTATAATTGTCAGGGATAATAATCGGTTTCATCGGTTTGAGAATGGGGAATGCTCTTGCGGTGATTACTGGTGATTGAAACGTGGGATTTAGTTTAGTCCTCCTCGTGTTGGATTTTGAAGCTGATTATTTGGTGCATGGATATAAACATCAGGTAAAAGCTTTCAGCATGTTTTTAGAACTAAAGTTGCTTGAACTAGAACACGATTATGCGCTCCAACCATTGGATTTGAAGTTAAAATCTTCAAATATTTAATGACATCCATTGAGTTGTTATGGGTGTAATGTGAATCAAATGGATTTTAAATTCTTGAGCTCATATTTTAAGCTATTTTTTTTTTCCATTCATTGAGTTATTTGAATTTTCTTCCCTAAATTATCCAAAGAAGAAGAAAAAGAAATAGTTATCACAAAACAGAAGCTACATGGTACACAATTGATCGTTTGTCAAAAAAGAAATGAAATACATAATATTACCAAAATCTCTTATAATTTAAAATAAATATGTAATCGACAGTTCCAGAATAAACTACATAAGATAATTTTGGTAAAATGTCATTTTATGAATTAAAAATTCTTGAGGGCCACAGTGTTGTATAGTATATTTCTTGGCTGCTTTTCTTTGATAAATGACATGTTGAGTGTTGTTACCTACTTGGTTGCTATATCATTCTGGGTTGTTAACTACTGAGGAAGGCTTATATGGTGGCTTGCTATTTCATTATGGGCTTTTAACAACTGAGGAAGGCTTATATGGTGGTGGTCACTACGGCCAAAATGGTTGGTTTCATCTTTATACTCAAATTTCTCAACTCTTTTTTCTTCTTGTGTGCTCTTTACTTTTTTCGATCACATTTTTCGTTTTCTTGACTGGTATGTATCCTTGATTCTTGGAATTCATGTTCAAGACAAATTCTTTTTCTCAATATTATTTCTGGGTTCCTTTTTTTTCATTTTTTTTTAATTCTCCAAGATTTTTTTTAGGGTGGCAAACCAAACAGCGAAATTTCGGGATTCACTGTTGCATGGGAAAGAACTTCCTTCACCGATGATCATGGATGCTGTTTCGCCTATGTGGAAGAACATGGGCAAGAGTCCTTTGTGGGGTTTGTTCAAGAGCCCAAGGTTTATTTTTTATTTTTTATTATTTTTATAGGGAAAAGTTTTAGTTTTGCTATTCATCCGTGTTCGTCTCTGAAGTACGTTAAGTATTTCTTCATATAGGGAAATTTTCAAGAAAGACGAATTAGGTATTGAGATAGCTCAAATCGCATTACCCGCAGCTCTGGCTCTAACCGCGGACCCCATCGCTTCTCTCGTTGATACCGCATTTATCGGCCATATTGGTATGGTATCCCTTTTCATAATATTTCTGTTATTAAAATTTATTACCACCAAAAAAAATTGAAAATTTATGTTTTTTCTTGTATACCTATCTAGGTCCCGTGGAGCTTGCAGCTGTGGGAGTTGCTATTGCTATTTTCAATCAAGCATCAAAAGTCGCAATATTTCCTCTGGTCAGCATAACAACTTCTTTTGTCGCCGAAGAAGATGCTAAAACAAATTCAAAGGGTGAAGAATATCAAAATATTGAAATGGTGGATAAACAATCTGCAGTAGATAATGAAAAAGAAGAGATGATTCCAAAATCGGGTATTCATCACACGAGCCCTTTCTTGACCTCGAAAGGTTGATTAGTTTATAAAGATTCGTTCTAAGACATCCTTTTTGCTAATTTTTGTTTGTGACTAATAGTTCCTATGTTTATATGGATCATATAGAAATGAATAGTGGTGGAGTCAACAAAAGACATATATCATCAGCTTCATCGGCATTGATTATCGGTGGGGCCCTCGGGCTAATCCAAGCTTTAATCCTCATTTGTACTGCGAAGCCACTATTAAGTTTCATGGGTGTGCAATCAGTAAGTTTGTTTTCGGGTTCCGTTTATCCTTTTCTTTATTTAAAGGAAATAAATCAGATCCCGATTTTCAAATCTTTGTAGGATTCTCCTATGCTAAAACCAGCACTGAGGTACTTAACATTGAGGTCACTCGGTGCTCCAGCTGTCCTCCTCTCATTGGCCATGCAAGGTGTCTTCCGAGGTTTAAAGGACACAAAAACTCCTCTGTATGCAACCCGTAAGAAGGCCTCTTTTTTTTACTTCACTACATTCTAGTTTTTTATTTCCAATTTTGTCGAGGTCATTCTTCGTATATCTATTTGACTTTAATGTAAACACTAAACAGTGGTTGGAGACGTGGCGAATATAATATTGGATCCAATATTCATCTTCGTATTCGGTTTCGGTGTAAGCGGTGCAGCGATTGCACATGTCATCTCTCAGTAAGCTCGCTGTTGATTTTTCACAATTCCCGTTATTTATTGAGAAAAAAAAAACATATTTTACGCATTTCTATTTGCTTTATTTATTTGGACATATTGCATTTAAGGTACTTGATTACGTTGATACTCCTGGTGAGATTAATGAAAGAAGTCAATCTCTTACCTCCAACTGTAAAAGAACTGCAACTTTCTCGGTTTCTCAAGAACGGTAATAATACTAGTCTTATTTTGTCGTTTTCCGCATAATAAACGGATAGAGATAATATACTAACATAGCATGATAGCATGATGTTAACTTACTCAAATGAACAATCAATAATAACTTATCTTTTTCACACAATTTATTGATAAAATAATTCGACAGGTTCTCTGCTATTATTCAGAGTTATAGCTGCAACTTTCTGTGTGACATTGGCAGCTTCATTAGCTTCGAAACAGGGATCAACTTCCATGGCTGCTTTTCAAATTTGCTTGCAGGTTTGGTTGGCTACCTCTTTACTTGCCGATGGATTAGCTGTGGCTGGTCAAGTAAGCGTCCTTTTTTCATTATTAAACAACGTAATTTTGTCTTCAATTCAGTATAATTCTTGTGTTTTTTTTTTTAAATAAAAAAAATAAAAATTGTGCAGGCTATTCTGGCAAATGCATTTGCAAGGAATGATTATGAAAAGGTCACGGCTACTGCTTCTCGTGTATTACAGGTATATATAATGTATATTATTATTCTGAGCTGATTGTACACGAGCATTTCAAATCCTGAATTTTAATTTTATTGTTATTTTTTTCTAATAATCATATCGCGTGTATGTAAATTGTCCATTGATCAATAACCAGTTGGGCTTAATTCTTGGACTGATACTATCCATCGTTGTCGCAATTATATTACAATTCTCGTCAACACTATTTACAAAGGATGTAAATGTTCTTCGCCTTCTACAACTAGGCATTCCGGTAAATCCATCTCTCGACAAAAAAAAAATATTGAAGTTCATTCGTTATGGTAATAAGTAATTGCGACTAATGCTGATTCATTTTTATTCATTTTTATTTTGTATTAGTTTGTGGCAGTGACTCAACCGATTAATTCATTGGCTTTTGTTTTCGATGGATTGAACTACGGAGCGTCTGATTTCGCTTACTCAGCTTACTCCATGGCAAGTCAACTATTATTGGAATATTCTACTATACGATTTTAAGCTTATAAGTTATCTGATTTTCTCTCTCTCTCCATGTTTTATTACAGGTTTCAATCGCGGTATTGAGTATAGTATGCTTGTTCGTGCTATCTTCGAGCAATGGTTTTGTTGGTATATGGTTTGCATTATCGATCTTTATGAGTTTACGAGCAGTGGCTGGATTTTTGAGGTAACTGCAAACATAGGGAATGGTTCACATTTTTTATTCGATGATTTTACGGAATCTTTGACATTTTTTGTTCGATGATATGAAGGAATCTTTAACGTTTGCTGCTTTACGTATGTATGTGTCTCAGGATAGGGACAAGGACAGGACCGTGGATATTTCTTCGTGGGGGATTAACGCCCGTCGGTTAACAGGCTACGAAAAAATACTAAGGGAAGAAAAAGAAAAACGGGGGCACAACCCGTTAACCCCGTAAGTTCTTTAGTCCACACGTGTATGAAATCCTGACTCGGCTATCGACATCATCCGTGTACTCTAGAACCCAAACTTTTTAGACATGGGGGAATCCATTGATGCTTGAGGTTTCCCATGCCTTGTAAAAATATACACCAAAAATAGCACTAAACATCACATGAAATGAATAAAGTGTATTCAAGAAAGTAACATATATTTCAAGCAATAGTAAATGGAATTCAGCATAAATAAAGAAATTCCCACAAAAATAAAAGAAGTGGATAAATGAAAATGAACCACATATATATATATATATATATATATATATATATATATTCATGTTACATCAATGTGAGTGTGATCAGATAAGGGTTCTCTTTGTCTTCTCTTTTCCTTATTACATCAACAAAGAAAGGAGTATTTATGAAGACACTAAAATTTGTTTTTACTATAAAAATATATAAACAATAATATTTATTAAAGTATATCTAGTTTAAAGAATGAATAGAAATCCCCCCCAAAGATAATAATAATAATAATTAATTTTTGTTTTCTTGAAAAATACGTTTTATTTACTGAGCTATGAGCTGATCAAGCTGCATTTACTCAAGCCACGCACCTAAAACCGATTGGTCGATTTGTTCGATCTCGTCATTCGAATTTTCACCTTCATTTCCGGCAAAACCGTGTCCTGAAATTTCCTTCTTTACATCCTGTGAAGATTCTCTGACAAGAGAATGCACCCACGACAAGTCGGGCTCCTCCCCATTGTTGAGAGCCTCAAAAGACGGACATCTCTCGAGCTTACCCGATTCATCGGGGGCCACGGCCCCCTCCGGTGGGCCCCACTTCGACCGAGCCAGCATTGGCGAGATTGAGTCCACATGATGATGACGAGGCGACATTCTTCCGGAAGAAAACGTTGCATTTATCGGAGATAGCATCCCCTGTTGTTGATGCTGAATGTGCCTGGGCGAGTAAACATCCGAAGAAAACATGTCCTCGAGATTCGAATGGGTCATTAGGGTTACGGGACGAAGGGAGCGATTCGGTAAATTCGCGTTCATATCAGTATCCGCAAATATCCTAGCATTGAGAGACGAGCGTAGCCTACTACTCGAGAGGAGGTTGCTGCTTCCCGGCAAATGCAGTGCTGGCACGTTCTGATTGGACGGAGACATCGGTGGGGTGAACGGAGACGGAGAGGCTGCGATCGAGCGTGGCGAGGCAACACCGGAACAGGTGGAGACGTACAACGGCCTTAGCTCCTCTTGCTTGTGTGCGAAGAAACAAACTCGTCTACTACAACTCGTGCCGTCTTTGCACAAACGAGTTCTATACTGAGCAGGGTGCAGCCAACACTCAAAAACTCCGTGCGCGTACTCGCACATGTCGCCTCTCCGACAAGCCCCCTTTCGAAAATCCGGACACGCCACACAGCTGTAGTGGAACTTCCGTGGGTCCCGCCTCCGCGCGTTTTCGCCAGGGTGGACGAACGGGCACTCGGTCCAGTCGTGGGAGTACGCCCTCGAGCAAGGACGGATCTTGAAAGAGAACATCCTAAACTCGTCCGTCGAGTATATCCCGTTCTTGATATCGGGCATTGATACCGCCTCAACGGAATATTCCCTCTCGGATAACGGAATATACTCCTCCGCCGCGAGCATCGACCGAAGGGAAGAATAATGAACCTGCGGGCCCCACGGTTTCGGAGGGATGAAGATAACGTCGATCGGCTTACGACCGTTCACGTCCGTTAGATTAGGGTCGGCCCCGGCGGACAATAATGCCCTCACGATTTCAACGGTGCGGATCGATCCGCCGGCGGCGGCGCAGTGGAGCGCGGTGGACTTGTCCGCACCGGAGCTTTTATTGACGTCGATTCCGGGGCGGGAGAGAATGAGGTTTACTACATCGAGGCTGCCGTAAGTGGAGGCGACCATTAAAGGGGTTAAGTGGTGAAGGGCCATTCGGGCCGGCCCGTTTTGGCGGCCGTACCATAATCCGACGTCGTTTACGATCAACGGCTGACGATCGATGTAGGTTCTGAAGGCTTCTAGATCGTCGTTGGCTGCTAGTTCGAGCAAGCTCTGGAATGCATCTTCGTTTTCGACTTTCGGAAGATTATCATCGTTCATGATTATGGATTCAAATTACTGAAAACTGAAAACAACGAAATCCAAAGGCATAATCCCAGAAACTGTATATACATACATGATACATATATATATAGATATATATGATATATCTAAATATATAACCTTCTAGAGAGATAAGGAAGTGAGTGAGTGAGTTAGAGAGAGAATCAAAAAGTTGTGACAGAAGAGAGCTTCTTCTTCTCCTCTGTTTTTTTTCACTCTTTTTTCTTCGCCATTTCCTATGTTCTTTATGTTTTTGTTTACTCTCTCTCTCTCTCTCTCTCTCTCTCTCTCTCTCTCTCCCTCTCTCTAAACTATATGTAATAAAAAATTAGAAATTAAAAAAAAAAGAAAAAATGATAAAAATAATAATAAATCCAGAAGAATTGCAAGAAAATTATTTGTGCTTTTTTTATTTTATTTTTTGAAGGAAAGAACATTATTTGTGTTACTTTGATAAAATAAAATAATAATACACTCTTACGAAATTATTTTTCATTTTGGGCTAGTCCACATATTAAGAAATTAGTAAATACTAAATATATGAATTATCTAAATAAAGTGCTTAAAGTGTATCTCTAATTAATTGTTTGGCTATTAATTTTAGGATAAATAGCGAAATGTAGAGTTCGAATGAGATAAAACGAGTACAAACTTGAGAATATTCTATATAATTTAGAAGATTTTACTAAATTTGACACCGCACGGATAGACGTGTAAGAAAATTTATAATTGATGGAGTGGTTGTAATTACCTAAACAATAGGGGTTTTTCGTAATTTAACATTATTTCAGGAGTACTAAAATTTACCTTATTTTTAATTCATTTGAGTATATGATATACCTAATTGGACTACTCTAACGACAGGTTATTTTTTTTTCATTGGGTCGGTAGCTAAGAGTCCAAAACAAGAAGTTCATTTATAAAATAACCAATATAATAACTCAAAACCATTAATTTAAAGATTTAATCCCCTTATAATCTTTAAATTTAATTTGAGTTATACTATAATTAAGACTTCATCATTAACTTAATGACAAAATAGTTCCTACTTAATCTACCCAAATAAGTGTAATTACATCACGTATATTACAAAATAGTAGAAAAAGAAAATGTATTTATTAATAAATCCATACATAAAAACCATATTTATCGTGGTACCTATTACCTAATATTGAATTTTATCAGTATTAATAATTAATAAACAAATATAATCATTTTTATCATTGTCAAAAAAGCGAAAAAGAAAAAGAAAAGAATGGCACTGAATATTATTTTATTTTATTTTAACTACCCATGCAATTTGTTTATTTATTTATTTTACTTTTTACTTGGTCTTTGGTAAATATGCTGCGTATCACCTGATCCCGGCCCACAAAATTCCAATTACTGTTAGTGGAATTTTAACCGAATTCATGCAACATTAAATAAACCTTAAAATGTAAATATTCAGAGAATAATTAATTTTTTAATATTTTTTTTCCCAAAAAAAAATATGTAAAAATTATTAATGCAGACTCAAATTATTATGCTTACAAAAAGAAATAAAAAGCCGACCGGTCGAATAGGCATCCAGTAGAGTGGGAAATTAAATTGAAATGAAATATGAGTTTGGGTTCCGCGAATCAGGCTCGCGGACTTCAAGTAGAAGTTAATTCTAGTTAAATGTTCAACTCAAATCCAAAGAACGAAAAAAAAGAAAAAAAATAATAATAATATATATGTAGGTAGTAGTATTGCATTGGGCCAATTGAATTACGGCAAATTGGAATAAAATATTTATTAATTAGCAATCCTATAATTGTTAGTATCTATTAAAAGAAAATTGTTAAAGATAATATTCGAAAAAGATTGGATAAGAACTCATTTTAAAGCTGGCTTTATATTTCTTAAGGGAAAATAATAAGAAGTATATTCGATTCGATTTATCAATATTTTCTAAATTAAACTCGTACTATTGTACGAGAGCGAAATTTATCACACAATTACTATGTTAGAATTTATTTTTTTACGATTACGTATAACTTTTATTGAGAAAATATCATAAATTACCTCAAATAGCATTAGACAAATCAAATAATTTCTACATTTGATCTATCAAATGAAGGTTAGTTATGGCATAACATCTCTTATTTTCTTTCTTCTCAAATAATTTACATTGATTAACACATTAATAATTAAAATTGAAATTTGATGGTGATATGGGTAGTTAGTTACTTTGTCAAAAATAGGAAGTTTGAATTAAGAAATGCTTAGTCTTGTTTCTCTAGTTACCTACTCTATTTTACTTTTATACAATTTTATATTTTTTTTCGCGAAGAAAAGATAAAACCGATGGCTTCGTAGATGTTAAAATTCGTAAAATGCATCGGATAATTTTTCATCTTGAATTCATACATAATCAAAAACATATACATATGGACGTGTGTAAACTGTAAAATATGCATGGATGAATCTATAAATCAGTGCAATATAATATAAAGGTAAATTACAGTCATCTCTGAGTTATGGTCAAATTATGAAAACCCCCTCTTGTTTGGGTAATTACAGTCATCCTCTAAACTATGTATTATCTTACGAAAAGATCCCTCAAGATGTAAATTTAGGGATGTTAATTTGGTAAAACCAAATCGAAATTTCAGTACGTCAACATTTTATACCGTTTACCGAACTGAATATACGATTTGGTTCGGTAAATAACCGAATTACATAAATTTTATATAAAAGTATTTAAAAGGAGGAGGTGGCTGTAATTACTCAAACAAAAGGAGTTTTTTTCGTAAGTTGATCATACTTCAGGAGGTTATAATATAAATATAGATATGGATATATGCTCGTTATTATGTGTAGGTCAATATTTCAAGATTATTCGATTAATTTAATTGAGTGCAACATCTACAAAACCAACCCTCCTACCACTCAACCTACTAGTAAATGATAATAATTTTAAATGCCAAAATTTAGATAAACCATATTAAAAAAAAAAAAAGGGGCAATAAATATGTGGTTAGATTGCAATTTCCAGAAATATAGAACAAGATTTAATGGCACTAACAATCTTTATCTAAATAAATTATCCTTTTATTGGAAAAAGCGTTACTTCCACTTTGGTGCCAAACAATTTGGACCATACTTCACCAAATTTAGGCTAATGCTAATCTATTTAAGCCGTAGAATTAGCATTTGGTAATGTGCAATAGGGCCCAACACACACTTGCAATTTTCTTCATCCACGAAATTTATTTATATATATTTGATAATCAATCTTTTGTAGATGTTGCACCCGATAAAATACACTGGCTGATCGTCCACCATCGATCTACATATAATAAGACACATAAACATGTGTGTGTGCACTTACTGAGTGAGAAGTTATTTGTATAAATCTGTGATACAGAATTACTCGATACTTTTCACCAAATGTAACATCTGATAGATGATTTATGTGCAGTTTTTTAATGTAAGTATGGGACACGTGGCATGAATTGCTTGTTTTGGAAGCTCTTATCAACAAATGGGAATTATGGATATCAATATTTTTTTTTGATTGTTGATTGCATGGGCCAGCTGAAAATGAAAACATTGATCACTACAATCACAATTATTAATTTTCATATATTTATTTTTGTAATTTTGGATTTTTTTTTTTATTAGATGGTGTTCATTATCAATTAGTAGATACTAACACTGATCCAGCCCAAAGAATGAGGCCCATAAGAGAAGCTGTGAGGCCCACATAAATCGGTCGTTCGCAGGATTCCACAAAAACGAGATGACCGCGGGCAAGACAAACATTTAATAACCTCTGCATCGATCGAGTGGACGATCGACTACAAATTAGCAAGACAGTTGGTCTTTGAGATGCTACACTTGATGAAATACTTCGAATAATTATTAACCGTTAAGTGGTAAAATAACTTTTCAGTAAACACATATACACATAGGTATATGTGTTATTGTGTGCAAATAAATAATCAATAATCCTCCGATGTATATTTCACCCGGCGTAACATCAAACAAACCCTAAATCTGATATTAACCCTCGAGACATGCATCCACACCCTCAATTTATGGAATCATTATTTTAACTCAAATTAAAAAAAAAAAATAACATAAAGTCCAGGGCTGTTAGTACTAATAATCAAACAGAATCAGTCTTATCAATCCCATCAAGACTCCCAAACAGGGCCTATACGAGAAATATTTAATCAAAGCTACCAACCAAGGAAAAAAAAAACTAAAAAATTATCGAAGCGAAAATCATGTAATCTTACGTCAAGACCGGCCAAATATTTCCACAGTAATGACATATTGGCTACCTAAAAATATTGAAAAAAAAATATTAAGTAGAATTTTTAATTACTACAGCAAATTAAACCTACTAAAGACTGCTTTTAGTAGAGATCGAGTTTACTAAGATCGATATTATTCGTCGATCGGAAAAAAAAAAAAAAAAAAAAAAAGAAAAAGCGATTAGATAGATATTCTCTTGATTTGTAAGAAAAAAAGTTAAGATATATTTAGTATTTAGTGGTAGCAGTTGTTATAGAATGTTGTGTAATAGTTGTATTTTAGCTAAATAGTGACATAACTTCTTCCAACTCCTCAATTGTCTATTGTCTAATCTTAACTTCATATGTTTGGGTGCATTTAACTATCAGCTGGTCTCACTGCTTACATTAGCCCGATATATATATATATATATATATATATATATATATATATATATATATATTATAAAAAATTACAGTAGGGTTTTTTTTTTAATTATTATTATTATTACTTTTTTCGACTATTTATTTGGATAAATACATGCAATGTAGAGATTCACTTCAACATATATATATTATTACAAGGATCTTCAGATTATATTCATGGCATCAAACAAAGGTACAAGAATGTCTGAAAATGATCACAAGAAGCAATGTTCGACACCAAAAGGCGAACGATTCAAGATATTGGAAACCCTAATTTGCCCACCGGCCCCGAAGAAGAGAAGGCTAATAACGTCAACGAGTACTTGCTCGTTTAAACGACCACGTATTGAGTTTTTCACTTCACCTGAACTAGAGCTCTTTTTCTTGTGTGCATTTAGAAGCAATGCCTAGATTAGTGTTTTTTTTAACGGTTTTTTCGTCTTTAATTTTAAAGAATATAACGCGAAGTTATAACGTTAGTCCGTTTTCTTACAGAGATTAAGAGGTTTGGGATTAACTATATCGGTTTTGTTCTTTTTAGTGTAATTCGGAGATTGTGAGCTTGTTTTCTGTTTATTGTATATGTTGAGAGTGTGTAAAATAACTAGTGTTTTGGATTTTTGGTTTTTATTTTACCCTTTTGTTTAATTTACTCTTTCTTTTGAATCACTATATATATATTTTTTCTTGCTTACTTCAATTAATAGTTTCCATACACAAAGTAATGTACAATGTATGTTTACCAAATTCCTACTATAGAAAACGTAATGCGAGAATCATAAAAACGTAAAATTTAACTCAGATCTATTGTCGTAGGTCGAGATCTTAGACGCAAAATCCGGAGAGTTACGAGAGTGTTTTTGGTTTCACAAATTTTCAATTGTAAAATGAAAAGTGCATGCGAGTTCTAATTTATGTCTGCACAAATCATTTCAGTTAACGAAACCTTACTCTACGTAAGAACATTCTTCCAATCGAACGTGGTCCGGAAATATTGTAGAGTGGGCTACATTTCGTATGGCGGAACCTTTCAGCAATGGGCTAAATTTGGGCTTGGCCTGAATTTGTGCAGCAAGAGAAATGAATTTTATTTTAGTTGTAATTATCTTTTGGGTTAATTACAATTGCCCCTAAAATAAGATTTATTTACGAAAAAATCCCTCATTTTTCCATAATTACGTCAACCCTCTTGCAAAATGCAATATATAGATTTTTTTACAGTAACACCCTTTAGTTGGGGATGGATGTAAGAAATTTATAAAGTGCATGGGAATAGACGTATTTCTCAAAAAGAAAAGAGTTTTTTAATAATTACACTTTGCCTCAAGTAGGTCGTTGTAATTTATTCTTTTTCTTTTTTTGCTTACTCTAAATAATATTTTATTTCAACTTTTTTTTAATAAAAACTCTTGCATTTGTTGGTCCTAATATTTATTTAATTTAATATTTAGAAGAATTGGCATACTGCTACTATACCAAATACTTTACAGTTCTTTTAATTCAATCCAGAAAAAAAATAAATTAATGGAACCAATCCAGAAAAAAATTAAATTAATGGAACCAATTTAAAGGAAAAATAAATTCCCAATTAGCTGACGGTCGCCGTCAGGAAGAGCGTCGCGCTGGAGGAGATTTCTGCCAACTAACGCCGTGACAGGGCCCACAAAATTAACGGCGCAGCGGCGTCAACTAACCATTGAGTCACTTAGCACGTGGCCTTCAAAGGAAGGTGGTGTAGTACTATGGGGTCCACTTTTGCCAAAATCGTGGGACACGTAATCACCCTTGTTGAGGACACAATCATTGGCGTATAATTATTGGTGGTAATGGAATTATTTATTCTTACATAAAAAAAAAAAGGAATTATTTATTCTATTTCTTTTGACGAATTTGCCCTTCCAAAGAAAATTATACATTATTTTTTATATAATAAGATTCCTCCTTTAAAAACGATTTATAGTATCAACAAAATCAAGTAAGATATCTTATACATGTATAACGTATTCTTTGTGTATTTTATGGTGAAAAATCGGAATTAATTTCGAGAATTAAATCGAATGGAAAATTGAAATTCCAATCCCAAAAAAACTTCAAAATGTCGAAAATCTGAATTTTAGAAATAGAAATGAAAAAAATTGTTCAAAAAAATCAAAACTTTTTGGAACGGAAGCGGCATAAATTAAACATTCGGTTCCAACTTTCACCCTACCCTTAATTATTGGTGGAAATGGAATTAATTATGCTAGTGACGATTTTGCCCCTTCCCAAGAAAATGATAGATTATTCTTTATTTAAAAGGATTCCACAGTTAAAAACGATTGATAATATAAAGAAAACTAAAACAGCACACTTAATAACTTTTATGTAGTATGTGCAAATAGAATGATGCATTAATCAAACTCTAATCCGAGGGGTAATTGGGGGACAAAGAAGTTATATTAAGATACTACACCCGATAAAATACACACATGCATGTGTAATTTATGCATATCAACGTTAATAATCATCCCGAGACATCAAATAAATCGAACTTATATAAGACAATAACCTAGGCTGCTTCCATCTAACCCAATAGCCAATTTTTTTATTCCAAATTAATTTAATTAATAATAATGAAGTTTGATATTTATTTTATTGGGTAAATTACAAACACCCCCTGAGGTATGGTCAAATTACAAAAAGACCCCTCTTATTTGGATAATTACAACCATCCCCTCAACTCCTCAAATTTAGTGGAACTTCGAGATTATATGGAATATTATCACTTTTGTACCTATTTTATCCCATTCTAACTCTACATTGTGAAGCAAGATGATCATAATATGTGTTTTTTAGCTTGTATATATCAGTTTGTGGTGCATCGGAAACTGTATTTTTACACAAAACGAGTACAAACTAGAGCACATTCCACGGAATCTAGATGATTATGTTGAATTTGGCACCATAAGGGTGGAGGTGTACAAAAAATCATAGCTGAGGGGAGTAGATGTAATTATCAAACAAGAGGGGGCTTTTTGTAATTTTACCATACCTCTGGGGCGTGTTTGTAATTTACCCTTATTTTATTTAATAAAAATGTGAGGGGGCAATCAATCAATATCATCGTACATTTGTCTTATGAGTTTCGATGAGTCGAGCATTTGAATTATTCGTTCATCGTCAACAAAGGGCCACGTAACCCCCCCCCCCCCCCCAA